AATATAAATCTATGCACTTCCTTTGGATGAAAATAATTTCTTCCCATTATCTATTCCTATTTTGCCCATATAGTTCACTTATTTATTTATAAAAAAAGTTTTGGCCATTTTGAGGAAGCAAATTTTACTCTTTAATTCCCATAGTTAAATTGTGTCTGACTGGAGAGGAGAGTTTAGTTTTCATATTATAAGTTTCTCATTTTCATGTTATAATTGCTCATAAAGTAACATTTGTAGAAAGCTCATGAACAAAAAGATGCATTACCAGAGTTAAAAATTATTTTCCAGAAAGAAACTAACAGTGACAACAGCTGTATCAATTTGACAAATAAATAAGGCTGCTGAATATTTTGTTTTACTTACCATTTTTTTTTATTTCAGGGCAATATAAACTTAAAATAATCTACATTTGTTTTAGCCAATATAAGGTAACCCTAATCTACACTACCCTGAATTTCTGGCAGTCTCCTGAGCCTCTAAGGCTACTCTATCAAAAATCTGTGGGATATGTACCAACAATTTCACAAGAAAACAAAGAAACGCTTGTATTTCAATGGTTCTATAAAAATAAACACTCTGCTTCCATTTTCCGCCAAATTGTATAACTACAAGATCTTGGCTATGAACAGTGTTTGCAGAAAGAGGTTATCCTATTCCTCTCAGTCCTGAAAATCCCACTATCATTTCCATTATCCCTTCTGTTTTGATGCAGATCTTTAAAAAAAGACACAACCAATTAGCAGCAATGGACTTTTTGAAAAGAGTTAGGTGGTCCTCAACTTATAACCAGAATAGGACTGCAATTTCCACTGCTAAGCAATCATGCTCAATTTTACAACCTTTTTGATGCAGTTAAATGAACCACTGCAGTTACTAGGTGAATCTAGTTTTCTCCACTGACTTTGCTTGTTGGAAGCCAACTGGAAAGGTAAATAAATGCCAGATGTTAAACCCACCAATTTTGTTCACATGAATGTGGGGATGTTGTGACAATTATAAGCATGAGTACCAATCATTAAGTCACTTTTTCCCAGTAACTTCAAACAATCCCTGAACAAATGGTTGTAGAATAGAATAACAGATTTGGAAGGGACCTTGGAGGTCTTCTAGTCCAACCCCCTACTTAGGCAAGAAATCTTATACCATTTCAGACAAATGGTTAGCCAATCTTTTCTTAAAAACTTCCAGTGTTGGAGCATTTACAACTTCTGAAGGTAAGTTGTTCCACTGGTTAATTGTTCTAAATGTCAGGAAATCTCTTCTTAGTTCTAGGTTGCTTCTCTCCTTGCTAAGGTCCTTCCCTCAGGTGTTTTGGAGAATAGCTTGACTCCCTCTTCTTTGTGGCAGCCCCTGAGAGATTGGATAACTCATGTCACCTCTAGTCCTTCTTTTCACCAGACTAGACATACCTAGTTCTTTATGTTTTATCCTCCAGTCCCTGAATCATCTTTGTTGCTCCTCTCTGCATTCTTTCTAGAGTCTCAACATCTTTTTTACACCATGGTGACCAAAATTGGATGCAGTATTTCAAATATGGCCTTACCAAGGCATTATAAAGTGGTATTAACACTTCACATGATCTTGATTCAGTCCTTCTGTTTATGCAACATAGAAGTTTGTTGGCTTTTTTGGCAGCTGTAGCACACTGCTGGTAAATCAAGGATTATCTGTATTGGATGGCAGAGAATTTTTTTTAAATAAATAAATAAATAAATAAAGTGTCATGGGCTATAGTGCACTTTCTTTGCAGTAATAAAACATAAAAAGTTGCACACTGCGACTTTAATAGAGTTATTAGTTTAATATGTTGTGAAGACAAAAATAGAATACTTCAAATGATACTCATGCTTTCATTCCTAGTACCACAATCATCTCTTTCAGCATATTTCTTAACTTGTTTCCACTATTTATAAGACTTGTACCAGCAATTACTGTACTGCATTAGGAGTTCCAAAGATAAAAGGAAATTATTTATAAATGTATCTGTGAATATTCACTTTCAAAAGGTATTTTTTAAAAACTTCCATTTGAACCACTGACACATGGCTTCCAGGTTTTATCATGGGAGCATCCAACTGTGTCAACTTTCATGCTAAAGTAAATAGAAGCAATGCCTTTTTAAGTAGCTGAAGGAAGAAAAATCAGTTTGCCCAATCTTTGGTGTTACCCCATGCATTGGAAATAAACAATATTGTCACATTAAATAGTTCTAGCAAAATGATTTCGATGTACCTAAATGGGCTTGTTTTAGCAGTTCATCAGTTGGATCTGTAACACATATTTTCAGCAAATAAATCCTTGCTATTTTTAAAAAAATTAATCCTGCCATGTCTTTGAATTGCAGGAGCATAGATAAGCTAATGTTAATGCAGTAGGTATCTTGAGTGCAATTTGTATTTTTAAAATTTGTTTACCTAAGCCTGTCGGCATTGAATTAACATTTGTAGGGCTATGTTTAAATATTTGTCAACCCGATTTAGGGCTGGGGTGGAGCGTGGTGTATATGTGACAGGTGGCATAAGGCCGAAAAAGGCTCTATATGCACTCTGCTAAACTATACCGATAAATAAACATCTTTCCAGGTTTGAAGGTGTGTTAAAAATATAGGTCCTGCTTTCATTTAATGCTTGTGTTCTAAGTAATAATAGATTTGTCATTTGTTATTTCTAACCTATACTGTATTTTTATTCACTCTGGTAAGGAATTCAGATCACAAAGCTTAATTTAGGGGAATGAACCTTCAGTTCTATGCTATAAGTCAGGGGAGACAAACAAAGCACTTAAAACAACTGATACCTATAGAATTTTGAGAACAGACTGTGGTCCCTCTCACAAAATGTTTGTCAAATTGGGGGTGGGGTTACCTACTATGAATGACTGCCATTTATTCATTTATTTATTTATAAAATTTATAGGCTACCCATCTTATCTCAAGCTCATTGTGGGTCTGCAAAGTAATGACTTTCTTCCTTTTAAAAAAAATACCATTCCAGATTGTTTTTTTTTCAGGGTCGATAAATATACTTATTAATATAGCAATTATTTATTTATTTATTTTAGATTTCACACTTCTTAAACACTCTCCCCCTCCCCCCCAATCTCCCTCAGGCAGGTTCTAATTTGCAGTCATTTTTATTTTCTAAGAATGCTAATGCACGCCAATGCATTTGATAAACAAATATGTTTTTAAAAGTGAGTGTGTTAGCAGCATTTGGAGATTAACTGTCAGTTTTCATTATTTAAAAAATAATAATTTTAAAAATTGAAATTCAGTGATAAGGAAGAAGTTTGGTTGGATAGAAAAAGTGGTATTACCAGTACATTAGCTCCAGTGGTGGGATTCAATTTTTTTTACTACCGGTTCTGTGGACATGGCTTGGTGGGCGTGGCATGGCTTGTTGGGCATGGCTTGTTGGACGTGGCAGGGGAAGAATACTGTAAAATCTCCATTCCCACCCCACTCCAGGGGAAGGATACTGCAAAATCTCCATTCTCTCCCCACTCCTGGGGAAGGTTACTGCAAAATCCCATTCTCTCCCCACCCCACTAACCTACTTTCCAGCTCTGTTCTCCTGTGCAGGGTAACAAAAGAAGACCCAGACAATCAGCTGGGACCTGGGAGGCAGAGAATAGATGGAGGAGGGGGCAGTCAGAGGTGGTATTCCGAACTACTCAAAATTTTTGCTACCGGATTTCTGAACTACTCAAAATTTCTACTACTGGTTCTCCAGAAGTGGTCAGAACCTGCTGAATACCACCTCTGGTTAGCTCTACCCCTGCTTCTTAAATTTGGATGTAAGAGGGACAGAGAGTTATAAAAAGATTCAGAGTTAATTTTCAATCTTCAGATACCAAAAGCAAAGAACAGTTGTTGAAATGGTGTCACTGAACTGAAGAAATCTTATTTTCAACAAGATTTATTTAAGAAAATAGATAAAAAACAAATGTATAAATACAAATATGCCAAGTTATATATAAAATATCCTATTTTTCACATTTAGAGTGCTCTTCTATGCAATCCATGAAAAATCATAGGCTCAGGGTAAAGTAACAAACCCTGGCACCTGAATGAATGAATGTATGAAACAAGCTCATATAAAAAAATGCAGACAAACCAAAAGGCAAGGATCCCAGATTCTATTAAAATTATGAAACAGTGATTTGCTTAACATCAAAAAATTACAGTAATGACAATTCTGGAAAATGCCTATAAAGTTTCCCTGAATTCTGTGCATCGCAGAAAAATCCTTCTTTTTAGTAATCGTTTGTCTAATCCTCAAAAAACACTCAGGAGGTCAGCTGATTGAGAGGTATATGATGAAAGTTATTTAAATAACTGGTTCTAATTTATTTAGACCTTTAAAGGCTAATTACTACACAGTAGAGACAACCTCCTGGGGTTTTTTTTCTGTCAATGTTCAAAATACAATTGCATGAAAGAGAATTTGCTTTAATTCTCTTATTTCAAAGAAATTTGAAGAACTTCTCCCATAATCTAATACTCTTGCATTTATAATTTAAATACTTGAAATGGGTATCCTGTTTTTCACCATACAAACCTCTCTTTAGCAATCAGCAATCTTCCACTAATGACCCAATCTCCTTGGGTCATTTTTAAAATGCCACTATTTTAATTAACTCTGGCAGCCAGTGGTGGATTAAGGCTCACTGGTGCCCTAAGCACTGACAAAACTCACATACTGTACAAAAGAAGCTATATTCTCAACTTTGAGGTGTCCCCTTTGGGCCTGGTGCCCTAAGCATGTGCTGAGTCTGCTTAATGGTTAATACACCACCACTGGCAGTTATATTAGGCATGAGTTTAACTTTCTCTTCAGAGGCAGTCCACATGCAGTACAACATACCCCAGTAATCCAGCTTGAATGGGATTCAGCTAGCATGGACCACCATTTCAAGTGTATGTCTTTCTGAAAAAGGAAGTTGCAGATGCAACACACAAAAACTGATGAAAGTCACTAAGCTGGTAATAATATCTGGCCTTTTATCCACCTAATGGGACCCAAACACGCGCCATAATATTTCAAGCTGGGATGAAATACTTGACGAAAACAACAGAATTTGAAATCCACATTTAGAATCCACTTGAGTTCATGGACAATTGACAGATTGTTAGTAAAACTTGTAGCTTGTACCCCATAAACTAGCAATCTGATGTGTTCCATCTTGCTCAAAGCTTCCTCAAAACTTCATTTATAGCAAGGTAGAATTCTTTTTAAGAAATGTCTTACATTGATCACAAGCATCTCTCTGAAGTGATCCCCCATTAAGAAATAAAAGATGGGATTAATTACACTGTTCAAGAAGGCAATAGGCCTTGTTATTGTGTAAACAGCTTTAATCAGGTTCTTTGTGCATTCAGAAGACTTCCAGAATGATGATGCTCGGGAGGCAATTCTAACATTACGCATGACATGATAGGGAGCAAATAGAAGTGAGAAAATGCTCACTGCCATAATGATTAGCACGAGAGGCTTCTCAAGTGGCAGAGTGGTAGTGATCTGCAAACTGTGGCTTATAAGGAGAGCACGAGTCTTTATGTAAAAAAACCACATGATGCACAATGGGATTATAAACCCAGTGACTGTTAAGATCAGGCTATAGATGAGGTTGGGGATGGCATTTCCTGAACTTGCATAATCTAAACATTGGCTGCCACTGCTGTTCTGAGTGGTGATGAAGTAGTATATGGGAGATAGTTCCAATATAATCCAGATCCATATGGCTACTGAGATAACAATAGCTGTGGCTCTCTTCTGCAGAAAGTGATTTTTGAAGGGGTACTTTATGAGCAGATACCTGTCAATACTTATAAAAGTCAGGAAAAGGATGCTTGTGTACAAATTAAAGAAGAGGATAATTCTATTAAATTGGCACCACGTGTCGTCATCTGTTCCTTTGGAATAACTTGACACTAGCCATGGAAGCGTGCAAAGGAAAGATAAATCTGACAGGATTAAGTTGAACAGGTAGATGTTGCCACTTTTCCAGGTCTTCCAGTAGAAAAGTGAACCCAAACCAACAACAACGTTTCCAATGAAGCCAAAGATGAATTCAAGAGAGTACATGGTGGTAAGATAATATTTTTCAAGATAGTCAGGTAGCTTCATGCATTCTCTGGTGCCATTTGTGTCCTGAAAATATAAAATAGATGTAAATAATGATTTTTTTTAAAAAGAAATTTTTATTATTTTATAGAGATTCTTACTCATCCAGGTCATGGTTGTTCCAAAGGTGCTTTTTCTGGAGACAACTGGGCTTTATTATTTATTTTATTATTTTGTCTGGTGAATATTTGATCTCAAGACAGTCTTTACTCACATTTAAATGATAAACTGTTCTCAAGAAAAAGGAGGTCCTCCTATGTCTCTTATTTATTTGGTTCAATGTCTAAAATAAAACTACCAAATTTGGTCTACAAAAGTCCAAATGCCAATTTGATAGCATGGATATATAAAATTCTGTTTGTTGCCACCTAGTGTCATTCAGATCTTTTCAGCTGTATATTGCAGCTTCTCTGAATCTTCTTTTTGTTTCCCATGGCATATTTGTAAACAGATAATGTCCTTTTTAAATTAAAGTTGGGGGGGGGGGAAATCTTTGCTTATGACTAAGACCAGAGCCAATAAATGTAGTGACTGATATGTTAAGAATTAACAAACACTTATGATTTGCTGTCACCTAACATTGTGATGAACTAAAGGCTGCTAGGAACTTGCATCTTGAACTTCTGGTGGGGCAAAAAACAACAACTAAAGCAATGTTTTTAGGTAAGATGCAATATAATATCTCCCTGGCTGCTGGATTCTGTACCAATTAAATTTTGGGACTAAATACAAAGGCAGCCCATGATGCTACCATGGGGTGACATGATAGCAGTATTCCAACATTTAACAGGTGGCTGTAAAGAAGAGAAAGTCAAGCTATTCTCCAAAGCACCAGAAGGCAAGACAAGAAGCAACGAATGGAAACTAATCAAGGGGAGAAACAACCTATAACTAAGGAGAAATTCCCTGACAGTTAGAACAATTAATCAGTGGAAAAACTTGCCTCTAGAAGTTGTGAATGCTCCAACACTGGACATTTTTAAGCAGAGATTGGATAACCATTTGTCTGAAATTGTCTAAGGTTTCCTGCCTGAGCAGAGGATTGGATTAAAAGACCTCCAAGGTCCTTTCCAATTCTGTAATTTTGTTATAATCTACTACATAGTAACTCTGTAATGCCTGTGGATTAGAACTTTTAAGATTATTTCCTTCCAAGATCAAACATGTCTTAACTGACACTGATAATAGGAGATTCTATGGGTTTCCTCAGCCAGCACAAATTGAGATTCACATCCAGATATTCCTTGAGACTTCAGGCTTATTGTAAAAGAATGAATAGTAGACCTACTATCTTTCCAAAATTGTAATTACCCACAATATCTATCTTTCACGGATTCAGTTTAAATTCTTCATCCAACTCATTGCCAACACCGGCAGGTATTTAAAAAGCACTGGATTTTACAGTTATTCCAGAAGATACCATGATAATGTGTATTGAAATCCCACAATAATTCAATAAGTGCTAACAGAATCATCTGGCCTCAAGTACCATCAAGATAATCTGTCAGGCATTTTAACCTTAAACTCTGCAATAAACTCAATTGAAAATGTTGTCAGAATTATTTGTCTACCAGTCAAATGTAGATGAGTTCCATTGAACTCTATCAGACTTGAATCAGCTAACAGTAGTATATGGTTTTAGTCAGAATTAATGTGGCCAATCCAGTCTAAATTTAACAAGACCAAAGGAAAGGAACAAACTATCAATTTTGAGATAACTGAGAAAAAAAGTTGGTATGAATTGCATACAAAACCACCATACACAATGCCTTACTTTTGAAAATTACACATGAGTCTTCTTAAAGAAGAAGGCAACTCCAGAAAAGGCATGGATTAAAATAGTGTGTGTGTGTGTGTGTGTTTAAATTAGGGATATATTGATATAGTTTCAATATAAAACTATCAAATAATTTCATTAATAAAATAATTTCAAACTGCATAATCATTATGACTGAGGAAACAGACTTTAATATCAATACAAAAAGCAGTATTTTATTTTATTTTGCAAAATTGTTTACATAGTTGTTTAATAATCAGGATAAGATTGTTGTTTTTAACTGATACCATTAATTTAAGAATATAAGCATTCATATCTAAACATATTTATAAATACAAAGCACTGAAAAGTTCTCACAATATTCTAGTTAATAAACTATCAATTATTTGATTTGATTCCTTTTCCTTTAAGGCAACTTACCATTCTGTAGAATGGGTATTATCCTTACAAGATATGTCTTGACCATGTTCTGAGGGATGAGCCAGTATATTTGAAAAGAGCCCAAGAGAAGACTCTGCCTGATTTGCATACTGTATTGAAAGTGGTTAATGATTCAGTAGTTACTGGAAGTTTATTGGACTGAGCTAGGTAGGCAGTTCCACTGTAGCAGAAGTGTTGCAAAACTCATTCTGAAAACACTGAAATAATGAAATAGTTATTTGCCTTCAGTGAGCCACTAGAAACTAGCCAAGTGTCCCATAGTTAAAGGAACAAAATGCATTTATAAAGTTCTGCTTGAGCTGATTACACACACAAAAAAGGCTTTCAATAACCAGAGAATGTAAGAAGGAAGTTTAAAAAAACATGCATGCTTTTTTTTTATCAAACATTATGCAATTAGAATAAGAATTATTTCTGTCACTGAGTCATAGAATGAGATGCTACAATGCCTAAAACTAACTACCACTTCCTTATTTACATTAATAAACCTTTAGAAATTACCACACCTTATATTCCAGTATTTAATCAACTTAAGTTAGTTGCTAGCATGAAATCCTAGTTATCTCAATAACTTAAAAGTTAAGGAATTATAGTTCAGTCTCCATTATGATTCATATTTATTGAACTGGATGAGCAAAAAAAATATTGCATCAAAAATATTTATTGAACTTGATGTTTATATTTGTATGAAAAATTCTTTCCAAATCACCCTGACAAAGTCCTCATTTATTCAACCTCATAGTAGCAAATATCCTCTAACACTGTAAGTTTGAAGTGGGGGTCCTTTTGGCAAGTACAAATATCTTCCCTGTTCTACCATCAGTTCCTAATGAAAATATGTTTGACCATATTTTAATCTCATGAATACTCAGATTCTATCTATACCCAGATGCAGTTTTAGAGCCTAGCAGGTAGTTACACTAGATAATGTGGTTGTTTCTAATCTTCTGCCATAAGAATCAGCTTATGGAAAGCTAGGTTAACTTCTACATTAGTGTTTTTCAAACTTGGCAACTTTAAGATGTGTGGATTTCAACTCTCAGAATTCCCCAGTACCACACTGCATCCAGCATGTTGCTTTTAAAAGTTACATAATTTTACTGATAATTTTACTGATATAATTTTGAGAGCCTGGAAATAACATGGAAGGGTGTTATGAAGATAGTGTTGCTCATCCATAATATGATATTCACCCTCATCAATTCTACCACTTTATTCTCCCGCTGTGGAATGGTGAAGAGACCTTATCTTGCATTAATTTATTACTGCAGGGTTGGATTTGGCTACTGTCTGTAACTCTAGACTGTATAAGAAGTTTAAAAGGAAAAAAAATATTAATAATGGTCTACTTCTAGGAGCAATTTTCTCAAGGGGAAGAGCTGCTTCACATGGACACCATTTACTCACTTTTTATTTATTCATCAAACAAAAATGACAAATTCAAACAAAATTAAAGAACTAAATTAAAGAATTATAGGATGAGGTTTACAGAAATGAAGTTGGAATTAAACTGTGAAAGTTAGTAGCTGAAATAACTGAATCTGGTAAGATATTCCAGACATCAACAACTCTGTTACAAAAAATGTTGTTGTTTTACAATTAAGTTTAAAGCAGTTTGTATTGAAGTGCTTGCTTGCAAGCATTACATTACGATTGAAACTAAAAGAATAATTTACAGGCAAACATTACTGTGTACAATTTTATATGCAGTACCTACTTTTGTATGCATTTTTATCACCGTCCAGTCCAATGATTCGCTTACATGATATATAAGAAAAAATCTACACGACTGAAAGTATAAGAACCCAAACTAAAAGATGTAATATAATCAAAAATAAAATATCAGAGAAGTAAAGAGAATTAAAAGAAGTATACCTGCATTTGTGCGCAGATATAATATTCCATTTTGAACATCTTCATGAAAGCCAACAAGGAGAAGAACTCTGTCTAGAAACTATGACAGTTTTTATACCACCATGGAGAAACAGAGTCTTTTTTCATCTCTTTATCTCTCAGAAATAATAGACAATAGTGGACAACTAATTAAATATGAGCCAAACATGTGCAGTGGCAATTAATAAAGCCAATGCAATCCTACAGGGATACAATCAAGATCAAGTGAGGTACTAATGCCACTCTATAAAGCTTTAGTAAGACCATACCTATAATACTTGATCCAGTTTTAGTATTTAGTATTTTAGTATTTGATTTGTCATTTGCTTACAAGATACAGGTATAAGAATAAATATAGTTTTGAATACATGAGATAGATACTTATAAGAAAAATAAAAAAACAATAGGACAGGGACAGTAGGCACGATTGGTGCACTTATGCATGCCCCCTACAGGCCTCTTAGGAAGGAGGTGAGGTCAATAATAGACAGTCTAAGGTTAAAGTTTTTGGGGTTTGGTGAAGAAACCACAGAGTCAGGTAGAGTATTCCAAACATTGACCACTCTGTTGCTGAAGTCGTATTTTCTGTAGTCAAGTTTGATGCAGTTAACCTTGAATTTATATCTATTGTGTGCTCTTGTATTGTTATAATTAAAACTGAAGCATTCATTTGCAGGTAGGACATTGCAATGTATGATTTTATATACTATATTTAGATCGGCCCAGAGGTGGTGTAGTTCTAGGTTTTCTAGTAGAGGAGCGGAGAACTCTTCTTGTGAAATATTTCTGGACTTTTTCAATTGTGTTAATATCAGATACATGATATGGGTTCCAGACTGATCAGCTGTATTCAAGTATAGGTCTAGCAAATATTTTGTATGCTCTAGTTAGTAGTGTGATATTACCAGAGAAGAAGCTACGTAGGATTAGATTAACAACTCTTAATGCCTTTTTGGCTATGTAGTTACAGTGGGCTCTAGCACTTAGATCATTTGAGATGAGTACGCCAAGGTCCTTGACAAAGTTTGGATCCTCAACAAGGTCTTGGCTATTTAGCTTGTATTTTATTTTCTGACTTTTTTCTGCCAATATGTAAGACAGAGCATTTATTTGTTGAGATTTGAAGTTGCCATTTGATTGACCATTCTGATACATAGTCAAGGTCTTTTTGAAGGGTAGTAGTATTGTCTGTAGTGTTGAATAGCTTTACATCATCAGCGAAGAGAATGCAATTGCTCTTAATATGATCACAGAGGTCATTTAGGTAGAGTATGAAGAGAGTTGGTTCTAAAACACTGCCTTGGGGGACACCACTGTTGACAGGTACAGAATTTGATAGGATGCTATAAATAAATAAATAAACAAACAAACACACTTTTGGTCACTACACTATAAAAAAGATGTTGAGATTCTAGAAAGAGTGCAGAGAAGAGCAACTGAGATGATTAGGGGACTAAAACATATGATGAACGATTGCAGAAACTGCAGGAACTTTTATGCAACATAAAAATATCATCCATGTGGATCAATTAAAAAAGTAATCAATCTGAATTTGTGTTTTTACCAATGATTATTAGGGAACTGAAGACTAAATATATGAAGAACGGTTACAGGAACTGGGCATGGCTAGTCCAGTGAAGAAAAAGACCAGGGGAGCCATGATAGCAGTGTTCCAATGTTTGAGAGGCTGCCACAGAGAGGAGGGGATCAAGCTATTTTCCAAGGCACCTGAAGGTCAGACAAGGAATAATGGATGGAAACTGATCAAGGAGAGATTTAACCTGGAAATAAGGAGAAATTTTCTGACAGTGAGAACAATGAACCAATGGAACAGCTTGCCTTCAGAGGTTGTGGGAGCTTTCAAGAAGAGACTGGATCTGTAAGAAATGATATAGGGTGTGCTTGGGTAGGGGATTGGTCTAGATGACCTACAAGGTCCATTCCAACTCTGTTAATCTATATCTGATACCAACATGTTCAAATATCATCTATACATTGTAATCTTCTTCCTATTGTTCCATTTCTTTTGGTTTTAGCCTGATGATGATGATGATGATGATGATGATCTGTATATATTTGTATAAACCAAAGCACAAAATCATACCTAGATTTTTAGGTATGCTGGGGACAATCTTTGAAAAGAGGACAAAAGTTAAATTTAGTTCTAACATTTTATAACTGAATTAATTTAAATCAAATTACATTTTCATCCAGTGGTATATTTAAACATTATTCTCTTCTGTCTCTATTTGATCATGACCAGTGTGGTTTTCGAACATGAGATTTGAGAAGTTGGGGGAGGCTCATATTGTTGCTGGCTTAAGATGATAAATTATATGAGCTGCATACTTTTGTGAAAAATGAAACAAATAGTCTTTGGACAGTTTTGCTTTTTTAAAAAAAATGCATGAAGCAAACGGCTGTTGAAAATGCACTGTGTTTCTCTTCTGGGTAAACTATTTACATGAATAATGGGTGACAGTTGTCAAAGTTAGCACAAGATTATTCATACCTTTATCCTAATTGTAAATGGGGAAGGCAAAAAATGCCAAACAATTTTTGAGAGAGAGAGAGAGAGTAAAATCAAATTAATCATTTCAAACATCTATAAACTGATTTTGAAACTAAAGAGCCTTTAGGTTTTTTTAAAAAAAACCCTAAACTTCAAAAATATTAAGTCTGTAGACATTATTTTTAAGTAGTTATTTGTTCATAATATTGAAGGCAGCTTTGCAGAAACATGTCACAAGTTCAGCCTGACCAATCTTTAAATGAACTAAGAAGCACAAGCCTGAGAATGTGTATGAAGACACTTGCCAAAGCTATAAACAAAGATAATCAAACTACAAACTAAAGTAACTCCCCACCCAAAAAAACTAGAACAGGCATTTACAAATTATTATCATAATGTCACACTCCCTCCCCCCATCATAAAAAAAACCCCTACATGTATCACTTATGGATTGATTTGAAGTCAGCCTCAAATGTATTTACCATTTTATCAGAAAAAGCTCTTTATGGAATGGCACAAGAGGCTCTACTAAGATAGGATGGCTAATGCTGGTTGAGGAATTCTGGGAGTTGAAGTCCACAGTTTTTAAAGTATCTAACGTTGAGAAACACCCTCCTAGAACTTCCAACTATCCTCAGATGGCCAACTCCCATACAGGCAGGATACATAATAAATATTTGATTCATCAGAAATTCCCCATGTTCTCTCAGAGAGAGCTCTATCATTCC